TTCACGCTGTCTGCCAAATGGCTGAACTGTCACGATTTTTCCGACTCGATGAGATGCGTTACCAAGTTCTTTCATCCTGCCCCATACTGACTGCTAGCGAGGAATATGAGCGCCCCGACTCTCAAGCAAAGTTAGAGTGACATTGTTTTAATGATGACTTCACTACTTCTCTCACTTTGGTGTGAATGACATCTGCAAATAACTCGGCTACCACCTATACAAATCAGCGACCAGCTCGAACAATCGGACGCTCGATGCCCCATTAAGGTCAGGGATCCACCTTCAAACTTTGTCGGTCGCTCTGTCCTCCTGGACAATAATTACTTTTTTTGTTCCTAAGTACCAGCTTTCAACATGAAGCTATCTACAGCAATACTCTATTCACATCTTCACGTCAACTAGTCTGATCACCTCAGGTTTGCACTTCTTATGGTGCAACCCTATCTGCGAAGATAGTGCCTAGTCGCACTCCGTCCATAGCTAGTGAAAACACGAACTGGGCTTCTTATGGCGTCAGTTCTCCATTCGTCTGTGGCTCCTAAGACGACCACAAAGGGTAAACTATGACGGTCCTCCTTAGCGTAAGCCGACAATGACTTAACGTTTTCCGTGAATAGCGCATGTCCATCCCCTAGGAGGTGGTCTGGGATACCCCTCGTCCTCGCCCGAGTGAACCTCGGATCTCAGACGTCGGGTCGGCTCCGCCACAACAGCAAGGTATCCCCCCGCAGTGTCGTCCACTCCGAGTCGATCACAGGGCCGGCCCCTAAGGCAACAAACCCCCGCCTCAGATGCCTCCTAGGGAAAGAAAACGCCTCTACCACAGCAGACGATCAACCCCTTGCTGCCTGACGTCAAGGTGAACCTAGACGAAGAAGAAGATCACAGAGAAGAAAAGCATTCAGACAGGCGGGCATAGACAAAGGTGGTCATTCGGGAAAGAATCCGTAACATCTGGAACGATTCCATGTCCGATTAAGTTCCTTTTTTTTTGTGTCTGTGATCGCTCCTTTTATTGTCGTCAACTGATTTTCTCTCTTATGACATCAGATCAAACAACAAGTTCAAAGGAAAACAATGCAATTCATACTCACGTTAGACTTTTATTCACACACGCAAACACACATCTTCTCTACCTATCCAGTGAACATTCAAAGAATAGGGCCAAGCAAGTGTGGGTTCACACAGATGTGAAGGGGTCTGAGTCAAACAACTGACCGTGAGTAAAGTTGAAGAGACGGCCCACTCAAGAAGACCGTGTAAAATCACACTCCAGAGAAGACAATCGTCACAACAAGTTGCCCGCAAAACGATCTACACTACTTCCTAGTACGGTCACTTGCCGTGACACCCTCTCAACACACAACCACCTCCCAGTAATCTGACGGCGTCTCAGCGTCTCCCCCACCAACCGTACCACCACGCCGTTGCCGACAATACCAGAACATGCTGCCACAAAATGCCCCTCACAGTCTAAGCGCTTCCACGTCACCACCTACAACGTGCTGCTGCCGCCGCAAAAGCTCAGCAGCACGTCCACGTCCCTGCCAGAAAAAACACCGTCGATGCCGAAAGATTTCGACAGCACCTCCGCGTCACCACCAAAATCTCAGCGATGCCGCTGCAAAAAATTGGCAGCGCTTCCTCGTCACTACCTAGAACGCACTGCCGCTGCCGCAAAAAAAAACCGGCAGCGCTTCCGCATCACCGTCAAAAAGCGTCACTGTTGCCGTGCCAAACAGGCAGAGTTTCCCCTACACCGCTTGCCGAGGACTCGCCACCGCCATGCAAGACAGGCAGAGTTTTCCCTGCGCCGCTTGCTAAAGACCCTGCCGCTGCCGTGCAAAACGGGCAGAGTTTCCCCTGCGCCTCACCAGCTGCAGCGGCAGCTATGACTGCCCTCACTCTCATGCTCGTTGCAGACCTCCCGCGCTTCCCTCTCTCTTCAACTTGCTGAGATGGCGGCTATGGTTGTGTTCCACATCTATGGCCACCTCCAGCAGTTCTCTTCCTCCCTCGCCTGCAGACCTCCTCTTCAACGAGCAACAGTTCCCCCTCCTCCCACTAGCAGCTCCTCCCAGCACCAGCAAGCCAGCATTCACTGAAGTGAATTGCTAGCAGCACCAGCCACAAATGATTGCTTGTTGGCTGCTTGCTGGCTGCTTTTATATTTGTGGGAGTAGTGGTAGCAGCCTGAGCTCTCAGCCAAAAATTCGAGCTCAGGCTGGGCCCTTGATCTCTTGGTGAGATCAAGGGCTCATACCAACCCCACACAGCAGAAATGGTCATGTCCACTCATAAAGAAAAGGACCTGGCCCTTTTCCTGCTGTAAAACCAGCAGGGGGGGGGTTGTATCTAGCCACAACCCTTGTTGGTCTGCTACTGCTAAGGTTCAATCTCAGCAGTGCACCCTCTCCTAGACCTGGCCAAGTTCAGAGCCAGGCTCTTGGCCGGTTTGCTGCACAAGGTGCAGCGAACCACTTGGGAACATGGCCCGGACAGCGGCCAGGTTCAAGCAAAAATTAAAAATGCCCTCTTTCTCTCTCAACCCTGGCCATATTCGGTGCAAGCCCCCTTGCTAGTTTGATGCACCAACCGTTTGGGAACCTGGCCCCGACAGTGGCCAGGTACGTTATTTCTTTTATTTTTGCTGCTGCTCTAGCAGCCTCGTTTTGCCTCAGTCCCCTCCCCCTCTTCTTTTCTCTTCTTCATTTCTTTTGTACCCCCTCGTTTCTCTGTACAGGGGCAGCTTGTTGTCCGAAACGAATAGCCACCCCTCCCCAAGTCATTTCACAGAGTAGACCTAGAGTCAAGCTCAAAAGGGTCCTCTCACCCCTGCTGCAGCAGGCACCCGAACCTGGGCNCAAGTCATTTCACAGAGTAGACCTAGAGTCAAGCTCAAAAGGGTCCTCTCACCCCTGCTGCAGCAGGCACCCGAACCTGGGCGCCATAGGTGCCATGTTTCAAGGCTAAGAGTCCTGCTGCCCGTTTCCCTCAGCGAACGGGCGCAGGCAGGTATTGGTTCCTAAACACACACACACAGTTTGAGTGGACAGTTCCCTGTTCTAGGGGCAAGTCCATTCGATTGTGCTTACCCCATACCAAAGGGGCAGCCCAACGAACGGGCACAACGAGATAATAAAAAATTTGAAAAAATTTAAAAAATTTACAAAGAATCTAAGGGAAGAAAATCTAATGAATATCTAAAAGAAAAACAAAAAAATTAGAAAACGTTCAACTCACCACTTTGCAGAAAACGGTCACCCGTTTCCACGGGTGACTACCAGGTGCATTGGGGCTAAAATGCCCCAGGCAGTTCGAAGGGCACCAAGTGGCGCCTCAGTTTTAGATCCCCTTTCCCCTTTTTTTTTTTCTTTTTTTTTTCTTTTTTTTCTTTTTCGTTGGCCTCAACCAACGGCCACCTCATATCTCGTGGCTTTTTCAGCCACGAGCAACCAACCCTTAGGAGCATGGTCCCCCAATCAAAGAGGACCGAATCGAATGCCTGAACCTGGACAGGCTTATGGGGACTATAACCCCTAGTCACTTCCCACAGCGGCACTTGGCCCTTTGTTTTAGTTAGGCTTTGTTTTTTATATATATATATTGTCCTCTTCTCCCTCTCTGCCTACGGTTTACCGGGCAATTCTATTTGACGATATATTTGTCGTTGGCTATGCCAACGGCCACGTCAGTGATCTCATCGTGTGGCCCCCCCAAACACGATCTGTCGAATTACAAACCTAAGTTCGACCCCATCCGAGACCAAAAAAGAAAAAATTTTGGCCTTTTCTCGATTTATGTATGTCGTCCTTGCGCAGGGGCCACTTTGATCTGGGCGCGACAGATCTCAGTCGCGCGATCTTGAGGATCGCGCGGCCGAGATTGGCCGCGCCCAACTGCCTTGGGCTGCTCCAAAAGGAGCGAGCCCGGTAAGATGCTTGCAGCCAAGCTTGATCCCGGTACCAGATAGGTAAGAGTCCTCTGCGATAACCTACTGGGCTAGCTCGTATCATGATAATGACAGAAGCAGTTCGCCTATGAGAAGAGCTCGCCCAGCCAGGTTTCCCCCATACTGTGACCTTGCAGGCTTTGCCTGCCCGCTTCTTCCTTATGGATGGCTGCCCATCCACCACTCCGGGCCCGCCCATCGGATAGGCCTCGGTATAGGCCTGCTGGCCTCACCCTGGCTCGAGGTTAACCCGGCGGCCCGGAAAAAAAGAAAAAAAACCTTGCTATTCCTCTCGTACCGTAGCCCTATACCCTGCGTATCCCTCCTTTTTAGCCTACTTAGGCCCTGAATCGCGCGGCTGCTAAGCCGCGCGACATCTTTTAGGTAGAATAAGTCTAGTCTCAGACTTTCTACGACCGCGCACCCCTGCGGCCATGTCGAGACCCGCGGACGACAGGCCATACCGCCAACTCCCGCTGTCTCGAACGGACGCCGTTGCCGTTACAAGTCAACGACGTCCCATGTCAACGACGTCAGACTTTAGGTTTCTCAATTATAGGGTTGGTCTGAACAACTTTTGGCAACATCAATCTCAACCAGTTCCTCAATCCCATAAAAAAATCGGACAGCGACTGACCTTGACAAACTTGGGCAGAAACCCTTACAGGGGTTTCTGTCCCGACAACCTTCCCCGTCCCCATTAAGCGTTGTTCCCGTCGCTTATCATAAGGAATACAAGGGGAAGTCTTTATAAGATCTCACCAATTATATCACATAATCGCATTATACCTGAAATTAATCCAGATCTTATATACTCCCTCATGAAAAGTGACGTTTCCGTCGTTCATCTTTCTTTCCTTTTATAATCACCTGGATACTCTTCTATGAAATACTCCATGCATATTTCATTACTCACAATACGTCAAACATTGACTTACTTTTAATCATAATAGAGGCTTACTTTCACGCCTTAAACAGATAGAGGCTCACTTTCAAGCCTTTAACATACAGAGGCTTACTTTCAAGTCTTTTGATTTTTTCGAACCTTCCTTCGAAGGCACTTTCATTCAGTCACGAGTTGGAATGGGGCCAGAATTAACCTCCGGCGGGTCTTTCCCCGGAACCTGGAATCCACCGTTGGCCTTTTCCAACCTGAGGAGTTACAAGAATATTTCAGGCTATAACCCCCTGTCTAGGTCTCGTCAGGCTTAACCCCCTGCGGGTCTTTCGTCACACAACACATACTGCCAGGAATTATACCTGGGCCTCTCGTGTCCATAGGGATGCATTCCTAACACCTCAGCATGTCTCTCGCTGTCAGGAGTTTAACCCGGGCGCCCCACGAAACACAAGGGTACTCACACTATACTACAACATGTGTCGGTACCATCCAGAGAGAAATCATGCTTCCAGAAGTCCTCGTCCAGTCCGGCTAATTCCCACTCCAACTTAATCACCATGCATGATTTATTTCCTACATGTCTTGTGAATGCGTCGAGGAGTGGTGTAATTCATGGAGGATAACATCTCGACGTCAAGCCCCGCTTTAGACTCGAGCCTCACCACCTTCCCTCCGATTCCAGTGTCATACATCCGTTAGTACCCTACCTGCAAGGTTGAACTACCCCTCCCTTATGACCTAAGCTGATCAGACCCGGCCATAAAGTCGAGGCGACCCCATCCACCACAAAAGAAAAGGTGATCAATCTTTCCCTCATGGCGAGCGGTAATCGCCACCCTCACAAGCCAGGTTCCAACAACCATATTACCACCTTCCTCCCTTTCGACGATAGTGTAGTCATCCCCCTCGAAAGGAGAAATGACAGCATCCCGCTATGGACCAGGAACAAAATTCCGGCGCAGGCCTCACTACCGTCTACGGGGCTCACAACATTAGGATTCCTCATTGCATGACAATTAACACAAAGTCAAGTCATAAGGTAAGATAAATAATTGAATCACATACCTGACGAATAAACGCATGTTAATCTAGTCAGGCATATAACTCAAGTACAGATCATCCCCTTAGACTCGCACTGACGAATTCTTACGGAGTCCCATAAGAATTCCATTTTTTTTTTTTTTTTTTTTTTTTTTCCATTCCTTTTCATATATGATGAACACTTCAACAATATAAGTATCCATCAGCTATTTCACAATACACTTCTTGCAATGAACATCCAATCATGATAAGAATCTCACAAAGTCCTTTGGTATCATAATCATCTTGCAACAAGAGTCACAATCCCATTGATAACTTTTCAACCTCAGTACTTCAATTAATACTTTACAACTTTCTTGGTTAACCTAAGACAATGATGCCACCAATTACCTCCTCTACCCTTCCTTTCTAAAAATTTTCACTAAACTCTTGGGATAAACTTCCGTAGATGTGCACCCGATACCCAATTTCTACTCTGAGATCCATCCAATTCCTCTATTTCATATGCCCTATGTTCTATTTTCCTAGTGATCCGATATGGTCCTAATCACCGACTGTCTAGTTTTCTTGACCGTTGTTTTTCTAGCGACATATCATACAACAAGACGATGTCTCCCACTTCCAACGACTTTTTTCGTACACGTTGCCTTGTCTCATCTTTCCTTATCAGCCTGCCTGCTTTCAGAAGTAGAGACAGTCGCGTCTTCAATCCGTTCTTCAGTCACCATGATCTTTCTTGCCCTCAATTCCAACAACTCTTCTGTTGAGAGTTTTTTTTCCACGTCCTGTTTCTGCCAAGTGGTCAGGAAACTCTCAATCGGAAAAGTCGCATGCCGTCCAAACCATAATGTGACGGGAGCATACCCGGTTATTCGCTTGATGGTAACATTCTCAACAAAAAAGGTTGCCCTCAAATAAATTCGCCATCTTGATGGTTCCCCTTTGCACCATTCAGCCAACAAGTTAAACAAGGTGGTATGTCCTCGTTCCACGGGTGCATTGGCCTGGGGATGCGCTCTCGTCGTATAACTGAAACTCACCCCAAGTCTCTTTAAAAGCGTTTGCACCTCCTTTGTTCGAAACTCGCCTCCTCGATCCATAACAATCTCTTGAACAAATGGATAACGAAGGTAATATTCCTCAATGCACTCTGCCAAGACTGATCCAGTACGTTCGCGAATGGCACGGCCATCAACGAACCCAGTCAAATTGTCCCGTGCATCAAAGATGTATCTATATCCATTTATCCCAGGTGGCATTACCAAAAGATCCGAATGCACCATCGCACCTGGTTCTGCCACATAACGTGGACTCAGGGGCTCGAGGTAGCGGATGTTAGACCTCTGCTGGCAAGGGAAACAAGATTTACAAAAGTCAATCACCATCTTGCTCATCCCTTCCCAAAAATAAAGACGTTGGATCTTGTTCAAAGTTACCCGCGCAGATCTGTGTCCGCCGGCTACCCCATCATGCAGGGCAGCAATCACATCCAACTGCTGAGAGATCCCGCATACCACCCTCTTTGGGACACCATCAACAACCTTCTTAAAAAGATGACCGTCACGAACAACGAATTTTTTGCTTTTCTCTCGCACAACCGGATCAAACTCACTTTCGCCCAATTCGTACTCCTTTTCCTTAAACGCTTCTTTCACCTCACCGCCTCCTTCCCCCGCATTCATTAACCTCAGACGATCCTCGTGAACCAACAAATTCATGATATATGACATCCTTCCAATGATCTGGAAAGCGGCATCAACCTGCGTATGGCCCTGTTCAATCGTTAGCGGATCAAGCATAAGGTCGATGTCACCGGTCAAAGTCAGCCTCATCATTTCCTCTGCGGTCTGCTCGCCCCATGGATCCTCTTCGATGAAAGGTTCCTCCACCACGAGTTTTGGACGTACCTCGTGAAAGGCAAGAGCATTCCATATCAATTTCCCATGCCGAGTGGCTGCATCAGTCAGGTAGGCAAGAGTGTTAATACTCAATCGCGCCTCCTCTTCCTTCGGAAAGGCATCGACCGGAACTGATTTTTCCGTCTGATCCGCCTCTGGGTCCCATTCACTCAACCCATCAGCACGATTCTGACTCCCCGAAATCCGCTCGATTTCAAAGTCAAACATCCAAATCTAAGTCAACCATCGTGCAATGGTGGGATCAGCAGGTGAATAATTCCTTAAGGATTGAGCCAATGCAGTCGGATCCACCCGCAGGATGAAGCGTCTACCGAACACATAATTCCGAAAGATGCGGAAGCAGTGAAGCATGGCCAAACTTTCTTTTTTGAACTGGGAATAGTTCCTCTCAGCAACATTCAGAGTCCTGCTCTCAAATCTGAGAGGTCTTTCCTGCCCCTCAGCATCCTTCGGAATGAAAACCCCTCCTAGGGCTGTGGGCCCCGCATCAGTCTCAATAACAAAAGGATGCTTTTCATCATCGTCAAAAAAAGGAACTCCAAGGATCAATCCGCCCTCACGGAACTCAGTCTTTATGTCTTCCACGGCCGCTTGCTGCTTCGGACCCCATCCCCACTTCTGGCCTTTGCGCACAAGCTTTYGCAAGTGCTCCACTCTGGCGGCAAACCTGCGGATGAAGATGCGCCAAAATCCACAGGTTCYGAGGAAACTTYGCRCATCCGTGATTGACTTGAAAGGGGTCGGCCATTCCAAAATTTTATTAGTCTTCTTCGCATCCGGCCGGCGACCTTTCTCATCGCAAAGGAATCCCAAGATCACTGCTCTCTTCATACAATGTCGAGACTTAATCCCACTAGTTGTGAGATTAAACTCTTTCAACCTCTTAAGAACTTTCACCACATCATTGATATGTTCCCAGACAAATCGGCGAATGCCTGGCAACACCTCCGCCAGGTCTTTCGTATGAGACCCTGGGATAGCCAAGTCGTCAATATACGGCGAAGTTATGTTAGGAGAATAAGGCTACATAACCCTCGTCATATATCTTTGAACAATGGCAACGACATTTGTCCACCCCTGCGGTGCCACACACATATGGATCAATCCGCGAGGAGTATGCATCGCCATCTTAGACCGATCCGTAGTGTAAATGGAAAATTGATCATACCCGGAATATAAATCGATCAGGGTGATGATAGATCTCCTTGCACAAGACTCCGACAGTAGGTCCGCATGTGGGAGTCCACCTGCATCTCGCATTGTCACCGAATTCAGCTTCTGAAGGTCCTGAATCCATCGCAAAGTACCATTTGGTTTGATGAAACAGAACCATGGAGATGCATATGACCCATAAGAATAATCTGCAACCTTTGTACGGATCTTTCCATCGAAATATGCGACCACTTTACGGTGATCCTCCGGATTCGGATAACGTGGCCCTCTTACATTCCATGGTTCGTGTGGTACAGTATGAACTCTGATCATCGGGATTTTATCGACATCCAGCCTTCCTCGCTCATCATCATCAAACGCATAGGAGAGATGTTCCTCCTTCAATATATCGATGATATATTTTTTTTCCTGCTCAGTAAGGAGGTCCTCCTCCCCAATGATCATACTTCCCACTCTTTCTTTGGTTAACCGACATGGCCCCTTTTCACCTCTCTCTTTCATTTCTCTGATCCACTCGCACTCCTCATGATAATAGACTTCCTCCTCTTGAGTGATCAGAACAGGTACTGGCTTCGCCTTCACGCCTACGCCTACTTTCTTGTACTTACATTTGGCGCCGGTGTCAAGCCTGCGTCCTCTAAAAAATGACCCTGTCAGGTGGAGGGCAATTCCTGATCTTCTCCCTTATTCCCCTCCGACGGGGAGTAAACGAGGCACATAGTTTCTACGCTTCCGGTGTCCGTGATGATTTTTGTCAAGGCTTGCACCACATTTGGATCAATCGCCGCATGTGTCGACACAAAATTGATTGCCTGCCCAATATCGAGCAGGGTCAGCGACAACTCACGAGCATTCGACTCCTCCCCTAACGATTCTTTCTCCCGTCTCAAATTTTCTGACTCCGGGAAGCTATAGGATTCCGGGTTCAGCCGGTTCCGCGAGCAATAGGGTCCAGAGTTCGCACACTTGACCACTTCGTAATAACCGCAGACAGGATCACAAAGGATTACAAACATGATTCCATCATGCTTGTTAATGATGATGCTCTCCGATCGACATAGGAATGCCCTTCCCAGAAGCACCTCGTGTTCCACTCTAGGTAACACGTAGAAATACGAACGGACCTTGACCTTTCGGATCGTGACGAGAACGCCACTGGCTGTTCCGCAAAATGGAGTTGATCCACTAGCTCCCACCAAAAATCCATAGTCATCTCGGTTGATCTTCAACCCAACTTCGATGGCATGGCGCTCACGAATGATGTTCATCTCGGCCCCATCATCCACAAGTGCCGAGTACTCCTGCTGTCCAATCTGGACCTTCATATGGCCGGTCGACACACTTCGCCAATCCATCTTTGTCCCAGGCGGGGACCTTCATATGGTTGGTCGACACACTTCGCCAATCCATCTTTGTCCCAGGCGGGGACCAGTTAACCTCCGGCGGAATGACTTCACCGAGCTTAACAGTCATGACTCTTTTACGAGTCATCCGCTGTTTAAACTCTTCTCGAATCTTCGGCGATACCGCCAAAATTTCCTTCAGCGTGACCAAGTCGCGCTGACTTTCCAGAATCTTATCGACGAGTCGCTCGATATCGACCCCGTGCTCCACGAGGATCGAGTAAATATTTTTCTTCTTTCGCGGCTCTTCCTCGCTTGCTTCGGCCTTCCCTTTCTCCGTCTCCCTTTCCAGTGCACGACGACGAGCCCGTTCTTCCTCCTCGGCCCGCAACTTTCTCATCCTCGTTATCCTCATCGTTCTCACTAACGGGGATAGGCTCTTCTTCGACTGCCTTTTCAGACTCTTTCCTTCTGAAGTTGCTCGTTTCGTCGCCGCATCCGAGTCTGCACGGCTATAGTCGGGGCACTCCTCTTTAGCACAGGCCTAGGTCGCATCGTGCTTACCATTGACCCAGTTTGTGATGTTTCTCTCGGAGCAGACGTCCCTGCTTGACCAGACGCATCTTCCCTTTTATCACCCCATTCGCCGAAGAGAAAGACATTCGGCAATCCAGGCCAGACTTCCTCCATGTCCACACAAAGTCGGGCGATAGAGTCCCGGCATCGGGCAAGCCGCCTCGTGATGGTTTGTGCTCGTTCCACCACTTGTTCCCTAAACCCTTCTGGTTCCGTCGGCGAGTCGTGAATATGTAACGAAGCCATCGCCTCCTCGACCTCGGCCAACTGCGCTTCGTCAGGAGAAGCAATCCGGAACGTTGCCGGCAGGGGACGACCCATTCGGCGAAACGCCTCCTTCCTCATACCCCCTTCAATATTGGGGTCGATTGAATTCCCTTCGTAATCAAAGACTTCACCGCGTATCGTGGTGAAGACAATTCCTTCCTTCTCATCTCTTGACAGGAGTTGGCAAAACCGCATAATATGGCCCTTTTCTGCGCAATAGTTACATGTGGCTTCCTGCTGCCACGCCCAACGGCTTCGCTGTCCGTTCCCACGGCCTCAACCGCGGCCTCTTCCACCCTGTGGTTGGAACTGCCCTTGATCCTGCGAATTTTGTCCAGACGAACCACCGCCAGCAGCGCCATTCCCTCCTTGATTATTTTGTCTGCCATTCTTCCCTTGCTTACGGGAGGTCCCCTGTCCACCTCGAATTTGATTCAAGACCTTCCTCTCTGCCTTTGTCAACTTACGAGGCGGCTCCTTTTCCTCCTCGCTCTCACTGTCACTTTCCTCTACCACCGACTTTTTCCCCTTCCTCTTACTATTTTTCTCTTTGGCCAGCATGACTTGAAACTTCAGCCTTTCCTCTTTCATGCCTTCCATCATTTCTCTCATGCAGGTCAAAGTTTTATAAATCTCACCGTCCTTTACCTCTCCCAGCTTCACATTCTCCCGTTCCTCCTTTTGTTACCTCAACAGCCGGTAGAGGATATCGTCGAATTTCCCCACCAGCGCATTTTGTCGGACCTTAGTCCAGTCACACCTCCCTTGCATCCCTTCAACCAACTTCGACTGTTCGACGTCGTTGAAGTTATCAAGGAAGATGAGGCAGGGATCTTTATCGGATAAATCCGGGATAAGGCGAGCCACACGCTCAAACTCCGATAAGAATTGTTTGGTAGTACCAAACTTCTTACGATCCACCGCCCTCAAATCTCGCAGGTCGAGTAACCGATCGCTGAGCTGGTACTTCTCCAGCAACCGCGCCTTAAAATCTGGCCAATTACAGGAGATTCGCACCAACTCATCGATCTCATCTCGGTACTCCACCTGACAGTACCTCTTAACCATGAGAAGCACCTTCTCATCCGTCCATTCGTTGCTATACCCGAGTTGCTCAAACTTGTCTGCCCAAGAAGAGGCATGATTCCCATCGAGCAATGGAACATCAATCTTGGGGTCGGGCTCTCACTGCGACAGCCGGATGACCCGTATCAATTCTTGAATGTCGTTCCTCCCATCGTCGACGTTGTCGCGACGTCCTGCGGCACCGTCCATCTAGAAACATAAACCCAAGAAATCAATCTAGGAGTTTTTGTGACATTTATTAAGGTTCCTTCCTTACATTTATAGAGGCTCAGAGACTACTAACTTTTTTTCTTAGACAACCACTACGGCACAATCTTTCACTTGCTTCATTCCCGAGTGTCTTTCCACCAGGGACAACGGTAGTTTGCCGTTATTCCCGGCAACGGCGCCACCTGTCGAGCGCATCGGCCCCCGCGCGAGCGAGGGCCCTCCCAACCTCGTCACGCAGGAGAAACTTAGTCTTTAACATTTTTAGAGACAACTCGATGACAACACGGTAACCCGCGTCGACCCTTCGCCGCTCCGGCCAAGTGCGCCAGTTGTACATCCCGCGGACCCCTACGACAGGATAGGTTCTCGCGGGGCACAACTTACCTTCCCTAAGGGGCTGTCACCACCCTTAGGGGCGTATCCCCGCCGAGCTACCGACCCACATGCGAAAGCTTTTATAATGCAATCGCAGAGCTAGGCCAGTCGAGGGCGTTTGCTCGTTCGCTGTAGCATAGGTACGCATGGTTAAACACCAAAGTGGACCCGAATGTCGTCCGTCCCTGGGGCGCTGATCTCCCAGGAATCGGACCGACGTCGGTCGACTAGGACGTGATATTCCAAGCGTAAGAAAACCTCAATCAATCCTAGCCCCTTCTTTCATGGACAATCAAAATGTTACAAAAGACTCATGTCAATGTAAGTTGAATTACCTTCCAAAATCATCATGCATACCACTCGCTTCAATCTAATCGATAAAGGTTGACTTGACTTTCATCGAACAACGAGACAACATGAGTTGACTCGTCTTCGAACCTCACTTATCAACAACCGGATAAAAAAACGGCATGACTTACATGCGTAGCGACGCTTCAATGGTGTCTGACCAAAATATCTTCACGTTGCCTGCCAAATGGCTGACCTGTCACGACTTTTCCGACTCGATGAGATGCGTTGCCAAGTTCTTTCATCCTGCCCCATACTGACTGCTAGCGAGGAATATGAGCGCCCCGACTCTCAAGCAGAGTTAGAGTGACATTGTTTTAATAATGACTTCACTACTTCTCTAACTTTGGTGTGAATGACATCTGCAAATAACTCGGCTACCACCTATACAAATCAGCGACCAGCTCGAACAATCAGACGCTCGATGCCCCATTAAGGTCAGGTATCCACCTTCAAACTTTGTCGGCCGCTCTGTCCTCCTGGACAATAATTACTCTTTTTGTTCCTAAGTACCAGCTTTCGACATGAAGTTATTTACAGCAATACTCTATTCACATCTTCCTATCAACTAGTCTGATCACCTCAGGTTTGCACTTCTTATGGTGCAACCCTATCCGCGAAGATAGTGCCTAGTCGCACTCCGTCCATAGCTAGGGAAAACACGAACTTGGCTTCTTATGGCGTCAGTTCTCCATTCGTCTGTGGCTTCTAAGATGACCACAAAGGGTAAACTATGACGGTCTTCCTTAGCGTAAGCCGACAAAACAGCCATTTCGTCAAAACGGACATATTATATTTTTTGAACGAAATCAAAACTGACATTTTTTGCGAAAATCCGGTCAGAATTTTTTGCTCCTAGGGGTCCGGCGTTCCCAAAACGCCGGACCCCCCTGGTCAACCATAGACCAGGGGTTTCGTTTTGGGAACGCCGGACCCCCATAAGCAAAAAATTCCGACCGGATTTTGGCAAAAAAAGTCAGTTTTGATTTCGTTCAAAAAATATAATATGTCCGTTTTGAGGAAATGGCTGTTACGATGACTTAACGTCTTCCGTGAATAGCGCATGTCCATCCCCTAGGAGGTGGTCTGGGATACCCCTCGTCCTCGCCCGAGTGAACCGCGGATCTTAGAAGTCGGGTCGGCTCCGCCACAACAGCATGGTATCCCCCCGCAGTGCCGTCCACTCCGAGTTGATCACAGGGCCGGCCCCTAAGGCAACAAACCCCCGCCTCAGATGCCTCCTAGGGAAAGGAAACGCCTCTACCACAGCAGACGATCAACCCCTTGCTGCCTGACATCAAGGTGAACCTAGACGAAGAAGAAGATCACAGAGAAGAAAAGCATTCAAACAGACGGGCATAGACAAAGGTGGTCATTCGGGAAAGAATGGGTAACATCTGGAACAATTCCATGACCGATTAAGTTTCTTTTTTTTTGTGTGTGTGATCGTTCTTTTTATTGTCGTCAACTGATTTTCTCTCTTGTGACAAACATGCAAACAAGAGATAGAAGACAAACACCTTGTCCCCATTTTCATTGACATGGCCAATCTCGTTTTCAAGCTTTCTTCTACCTACCTGCACATCAGATCAAACAACAAGTTCAAAGGAAAACAATGCAATTCACACTCACGTCAGACTTTCATTCACACACGCAAACACACATCTTCTCTACCTATCCAGTGAACATTCAAAGAATAGGGCCAAGCAAGTGTGGGTTCACACAGGTGTGAAGGGGTCTGAGTCAAACAACTGACCGTGAGTGAAGTTGAAGAGACGGCCCACTCAAGAAGACCGTGTAAAATCACACTCCAGAGAAGACAATCGTCACAACAAGTNGTCAAACAACTGACCGTGAGTGAAGTTGAAGAGACGGCCCACTCAAGAAGACCGTGTAAAATCACACTCCAGAGAAGACAATCGTCACAACAAGTCGCCCGCAGAACGATCTATACTACTTCCTAGTACGGTCGCTTTCCGCGACACCCTCTCAACACACAACCACCTCCCAGTAATCTGACGGCGTCTCAGCGTCTCCGCCACCAACCGCACCACCACGCCGTTGCCGACAATACCAGGACATGCTACCACAAAATGCCCCTCACAGTCTAAGCGCTTCCATGTCACCACCTAGAACGTGCTGCTGCCGCAGCAAAAGCTCAGTAGCACGTCCACATTGCTGCCAGAAAAAACACCGTCGACGCCGGAAGATTTCGAAAACACCTCCGCGTCACCACCAAAATCTCAGCCATGCCGCTGCAAAAAATTGGCAGCGCTTCCACGTCACTACCTAGAACGCACTGCCGCTGCCGCAAAAAAAAACCGGCAGCGCTTCCGCATCACCGTAAAAACACGTCGTCGTTGCCATGCCAAACAGGCAGAGTTTCCCCTGCACCGCTTGCCGAAGACTCTCCGCCGCCGTGCAAGACGGGCAGAGTTTCCCCTGCGCCGCTTGCTAAAGACCCTGCCGCTGCCGTGCAAAACGGGCAGAGTTTCCCCTGCGCCCCACCAGCTGCAGCGGCAGCTATGGCTGCCCTCACTCTCATGCTCCCTGCAGACCTCCAGCGCTTCCCTCTCTCTTCACCTTGCTGAGATGGCAGCTATGGTTGTGTTCCACATCTATGGCCACCTCCAGCAGTTCTCTTCCTCCCTCGCCTGCAGACCTCCTCTTCAACCAGCAAAATTTCCCCCTCCTCTCACTGGCAGCTCCTCCCAGCAGCAGCAAGCCAGCATTCACTGAAGTGAATTGCTAGCAGCACCAGCCACAAATGATTGCTGGCTGGCTGCTTGCTGGCTGCTTTTATAGTTGTGGGAGGTAGTGGTAGCCGCCTGAGCTCTCAGCCAAAAATTCAAGCTCAGGCTGGGCCCTTGATCTCTTGGTGAGATCAAGGGCTCATACCAGCCCCACACAGCAGAAATGGCCAGGTCCACTCATAAAGAAAAGGACCTGGCCCTTTTCCTGCTGTAAAACCAGCAAGGGGGGGCTGTATCTAGCCACAACCCTTGTTGGTCTGCTACTGCTGAGGTTCAATCTCAGCAGTGCACCTTCTCCTAGACCTGGCCAAGTTCAGAGCCAAGCTCTTGGCCGGTTTGCTGCACAAGGTGCAGCGAACCACTTGGGAACATGGCCCGGACAGAGGCCAGGTTCAAGCAAAAATTAAGGAAGGTGCCCTCTTTCTCTCTCAACCCTGGCCATATTCAGTGCAAGCCCCCTTGCTAGTTTG